ATCCTAATAACTAAAGTTTCTCTCTTTCTCTTTCTCTCTCATCAACAGGTGGCAACGAAAAGTGTGTCAAGCCCAAGTGCATGCTGCCCGTGGATGGGTGCAAGCCCATATTCGTGGACTCCACCTGTTGCCCGGTGCGCTACGACTGCAGCAGCAAGACCTCTGGCAAGTCCTCGCAGGAGGTGCGCTACCGGAAGAACTCGAATAAGCACTTCCAGCGCATGGCGCAGCGCTTGCAGCGGAACCGCGGCTGCACCGTGGGCGCCCAGTTCTATGCGGAGGGCCAGAAGATGCGATCGGACGCAGATAAGCCATGCGACATCTGCTTCTGCATCCGCGGCACGCGCCGCTGTGCACCGAAGAAGTGCGCGCCAGCCCTGAAGAACTGCATTCCGGTGGTGCCCAAGGGTCAGTGCTGCCCCTCCAGCTACGACTGCGGCAGCCAGCGGGACTATCGCCGCTCGCAGAGCTCTCGCCAGTTCAACCTGTACAATCTGCTCTTTGGCAAGGAGGAGCAGGAGGCGGAGGCGGCAGCAGCTGCTGCCCTGATACCGCAAAACACCATGGCCGAGCACTACCCTCTCGACCGCCATCCCACTGAGCCACCCGTGGGCGATCCGCTGCAGGCCAGCAGCGAGAAGAGCATCTTCGATACGCTGCGCGAGGGCCTCGAGTTCATCGATGGCAACAACAACCAGATGCTGGCCAATAACATGGACTTGGTGGGCAGCACACCTACCGCCAGTCCGCTGGTCTCTGACCCGAGCAGCACCACAGAGCTCAGCTTCCTCGACCTGCTGCTCGGACCCAGCACAGAGACCGAAGAGCCAATAACGCCAGAGGCCACAACCGAGAAGAAGAAGCCCATATCCTGGATGGACATACTACTGGGACCCGACGAAGATGAGTCAGCTCTCACAATCGAGCCGACTGTTGCTGTAGAATCCAGCTCTACTTTGGCACCGGCACCGGCACCACCTACGAGCAGCACCACTGAGCGCAGCATTGAGCGGATTGCAGACGATTTCGGAGATCGATGGATCGAGGGACAGTTTGCAGTGGGTGAACTGCCAGCGGAAGCCCAGCAAGACTGGGCCAGACCCGCTGATGTACCACCGGCCAGCACCACAGCTCAACCACCCGATCTATTCAACGTGCTGCTGGACGGACTTTCAGTCATGCTGAATGACAATGCCACCAGCACCACTTCGACAACCACAACGACAACAACAACAACGAGCACCACTACGACTAGAAGGCCCTTTAGCACACACGCACCGCCCATGTTCCGTCCACTGCCGAGCAGCAAACCGCACCACACGCGCATCAACTCCAAGCTGGCTAATCTCACAGTGACCCCACCGATGGTTGTGGTCACCAGCAAATACGGTCAGCCCGTCACCTATCGGACGATGCCAAGCAAGGGCACCACCAGCACCACGAGCACCACCACAACAACAAGCACAGCCACACCCAAGCCACTTCCAGTGAATGTTACTAACACAAAGACCACAACTACGCATAGACCCTCAACAACAACAACAACAACACCAAGAACAACTACAACTACCAAAGCTAAGCCAAAAACCACCCGACGCACGACAACAACCACAACCACAACCAAACCAACAACAACCACCACCACCACAACGCAACCACCAACAACTACAACCACACCAAAGCCTACAACCCCAATGCCTCGCACCACCTTCCGACCCACATTCAAGCAGAAGCCAACCCCAGCATACATCACTAGCACCACTAAGCCACTGATCATCAAAACGAACCCCACCATTTTGGAAGTGGATCCCTTGGACGATGCAGACAGCACTGCGCCCACGCTGCCGCCCAGCTTGCCGAACCTGAAAATCATACCGTTTTTGCCCACGGATGCTGTGGATACGAAACCACCAATACCACCACCCGAGGGCTACAGCAGCCACAATTACTATCAGCAGCCAGCGGGTCTGCTTGCCTCGCAAATCGCCTCCGACAGAGTGGACAGCGAGTACGATGTGACCTACGTGGATCAAGCACAGCACGGCATCAACTTCAACAACAACAACAACCACCACAACAACAACCACAACAGCGATCAGGCTGCCTACAAATACAAGTTCAATGTGGAGGTTCCCGCTGTGGCGGCCCCACCTGAGCCAGTGGTGCACGTCATTGGCAGCGCCGACTACGTCAAATATGATTTCAATGAGCAGGTGGTGCAGCCACCCGTGCACAGTGGTTTCTCACCACCCACCGAGACGGAGGGCGGCTTCATGCCCAAGGAGCCGCTCGTCATCGATGGGGAAGTGCTGCAGGAACATGTCACATCGAACGTCCTGCTGGGCGATAATTATCACGTCACGCAGCATATTATCGATATAACGACAGAGAGGGAGGATAACGACACGGCTTCAATCGGTGAGTTTGATTGAGCGATTGACTGATAGAATGGCATCTATATAGAAATATTTAGAAAGGAAAAGGAATTGATATTTGATTAGATTATCGAAGACATGTAAATTTATCAACTGTTTGATTCTCTGGCTGATTGACTGATTGACTGATTGAAGTGTCCTGTAAAGCTCAAGTTGTAGGAGGCGAGACACAATTTTAAATGAGTGATTGAATCATGATGTATCACACAGACGTAAATCTGTAGAAGCTTGAATAGAAATATGTGTGAACTTATTGATTGAATGATTGATGTGAAAGAAATAGCTGAACCTGTGGAGCTAAAGTACATGCAAAAGCAGTACTTGAATTTCCAATTAACTGATTGACTGATTGGCTGATTGATTGAATGATTGATGATACTCAATGCACAGCTCAAGCTGAATAGAATAGTATTCAATTATTTCTCTTATACTAGGTATCGAGTTCCTCTTGACCTCTTTATATCTTGTCCCTCTCTCACTCCATCTTCAATTGCTCATTTATTTACTTCTACTCTTTTTGCCCCACAGAGATCACAACGCCCGATCCCTTCAAAGATGTCATACACACGGAGAGGCCGCCAAATCTCGATGTGCTGATTGGAGACAAGCTGCAGAAGAAACCGGCAGAGCAGCTGCAACAGCAACATATCGAGAGTGTCACCTACAGCATCAGCCACTCTTCCGGCAATAAAACTGCAGCAGCAGCAACAACAACATCAACAACAACGGCTGCAACTACAACCACAAAACAAACATCGCTGATAGACAAAAATGAGATAAACAAACTGGATGAGCTGCTGGAAGAGCTGTTGGGCATGAACCTGCCTACCAAACCCCCCACCAGCGGCAGCAGCAACAGCAGCAATAGTACAGTGCCGCCTTTTAAAACATTGCCAACAGCAGCCGCACCAGCAGCAGCAGCAGCAACAGATGCAACAACAACTACTGCGCGCCCACCTGCCACACCCACCGCAGCACGTGGCCACAAGAAGGGCAACAAAACAAAGCCGAAAACATCGAGCAATAGACGCAACCAGACAGCAACTGCAACGGCAAAGCCATCCCGCAACAAAGGTCAAGCGACCACGCGTCGAACACCCGCCAGCAACAGCAACAACAACAGCAACAACAACAACAACGGCAACGGCAACATAAACAGGAACAACTCAATGGGCAGCACAGCGCAAACAAGTGCAAAAACCAAAAACACGCCAGCAACAGTTACATCAACAACAACATCAACAGCAGCAACTAGCAGCCCCACAACAGCAGCAACAACAACAACAACCACAGCAGCAATTGTTTCCACCACAGTGCATCCATTTTTAATGTCACCATTCGACAAATTGCCCTTCATGGACACCAGCTACGAGGTGCGACATCAGCAACAGCAACTGCAACAACAACAGCAACAGCAGCTGCAACAACAGCAGCTGCAACAACAGCAACAGTTGCCGCAATTTCATCATTATCAGCATGCGCCAAGCAGCAGTAGCACAACAACAACCACAGCAGCAACACCAGCAGCAGCAGCAGCAGCAGGAGGAGGAACGGCAACTGTTGCTGGGGGCGAGGGGCTAATGGATCCTGCGGGCATACTAAAATTAGCCGGCTGCAACATTTACGGCCGCATGTACCGAGTGGGTCGCATTATTGTGGAGCTATCCAATCAATGCCTCGAATGCAAATGCACCGAGGTGGGCGTCAAGTGCGGCCCATTAGACTGTTAATTTAAGCCACGCCCCCAGCCCTTCCTCCGCTAAAAATCTCTGCGAGTGAGTGTGCGTGTGTCTGTGTATGTGTGTGTGTGTGAGTGTGACTGTTTAACATTTAAGCCAACTCTTTTATTTGTCCATTTCCGTTTTAGCTCTGAAGTAATGCATTTAGTATATAGACTAAGTTTAATCTAATTAATATGCATACATATAATATACATAATAATTACATTTACATATATAATATACAGTTGTGTTCGTGCAAGTAGTAGTGCTGCCCTATGGAAAATTTGAACCAAATAATTTCCATTGAAAACTCTCAATATTCGTTTCAAATTGTACTGTGTTTATCATTAAAATTGAGTACTACTTTTTCCATGAGCACAGCTCTATACATAGCTCTTTATAGGTACCCTTAACACTAAGTTGTATTATAGACGTAGTTCTCCACGCCTTAAGTCTAACCAAATCTTGAACTAACTGCAATGCATTTAAAAATCGAAAAAGAAATTTAAGTTTTAAATTTTGAAAAAAAAAGAAGATAATATTTAATTATATTAAAAAACATATTTTAAATATTAAAATTTTATTATAAAAAATACATACCTTAGAAAAATTAAAATACTTTTAAATAACTTTTATTTATTTATATATTTAAAATTGAAACAGTAAATAAAGAGTTATAATTTCAAAAATAAATAATTTGTAGATTCAAGGGTAGATTAAGAAATTGTCGTTCTTATAATAAATCTAAAAATAAGCTTCGAAAATATTCAATTTAAATTAATTTGGATTCTTCTGTAACGGATATGTCTCGCTCTCTCTCTCTCTCTCTCTCTCTCTCTCTCTCTCTCTCTCTCTCTCTCTCTCTCTCTCTCTCTCTCTCGTTCTGTCTCTCGCTCTCTCGTTCTGTCACTCTCTCTCCTTCATCCCATCTCTAATTATTTACTCCTTAAAACTACGTTACATAATTATTTGCTTTGTGTTCTTAAAGGTTTTATAAATTTATGCTGTTGATATGATTGTAATACGAAATTCATTTTCTAACCTAAACAAAAAACTTATCGACTACCCTCGTTCATACAAATCTATTGGAATTTAGATCACATTTTCTGATAACTGATTCGATTAACCTGAAAACTATTCAATTGATTCATTGAGAATCCACCAAATCCACCAAAGCAGTCTCGACGTTAGTGAGTTATGAGCCAGTGCTATAAATAAATTGAAGCTAATTGCAGTGCTAAATGAAAATGATCAATGATCCAGTTTAGATGGGCATAAATATAAAAACATAAATATGTAATTACCCTTGCCTTATACATTATTCCACCTAATTAGCTGAGTCATCAGATTGAGTCTATAAAATCGATTCGATGGTGTAAAAATAACACTTTACCAACTGTAGCATAGAAATTTATGGATGCCCTTAAGAGTCAATAGCTTGGCCATAAAAGCCAAGCGTAAATACTGCCAGAAATTTATTCGATGAATTTGATTTGGCTTTTTCCGGCGGATTCGAGTTGAATTGCAAATGTTGAGACCAAATGAAGGCAGATCTAATCGAATCTGGAATCGATCGAGCACAGTTAATTACAAATTTGGTGTTTCCGACGAGATTCGCCTGTAAATAAGAAAGCCGCATATCAATCCGGCCACGCCCCCACCCAAATGGGCCTCCAGACTGATGCGCGGGTTGCGATTGTCATTGAGGCAGAAGTGATAAATCGTGTATGCCGCATTGCTGACGAACAAGCTCAGGAGGACGGCGACGCGCCAAGTACGATGCGACAATTTTGAGAAATTCTATGGGAAAATAATAGAAAAAACCAAATCAAAAAGTTAATGAAAAAAGTGAATAACGAAGTAAGAAGGTCGGGCATTGCCGACTGAGCGATACGCTGCTCACAGGGCTGGAAAAATTGGCAAATGGTGGAAGGCCGATTGTGCATTAGTTTAATATGTATGAAGTGGCAGCTTGGTGACTGTCCAACTGTAATTAGAGAATTTCAAACAAGCCAATATACCCGATAGCCGCATGTGAACAGTGTATGGCAAAATAGAAATCAAATTAAGCTGCGGTTGCATTCGATTTAGCCACAGTTGACTGACCAAAACCAGGTGGGGCACATGACTGCACAGCATGGCATAGACTCCCGCCGATGCGCCGAGCAGCGAGAGCCCCGGCTGCAGACTGGCGTTGGCCAGGCCGCCACAAAGGCCGCCCGTTACATAGACGACGCCCAAGCGCCAGTGACCTTGCTCCACTTCCAGGTAGACGCCAATGAAGCACTGAACCCAAAAGAACAGAAGAAAACCAAAAAGCATAAGCCGCGTGGCTCAGTGTGTGGTGGCTGGGACCCACCTGCAGGCAGATGTTGATCCACAGGTGCCAGAGATCAGCGTGGAGCAGCATGTAGGTAAAGAAGCGCCAATACTCGTGCCCCAGCTCCGGCTTGAATATGAGGCGCCGCTGCATGCACGCGTTGGCAATCAGATACAGCGAGATCTGTGAATGGCAGAAGAGAAGGCGACAAGTCAGACAAATGAGCGACCTTAAACGATAGACATTAAGACATTACACTGGGCTACAAGACTGAGACAGTGCGAAATGTTCCAGACTGAGTTCTTGGCTATGACTCCTCAATAAGATGAGGGTACTCAAGAGCTAAGAGATTGCATGAAGATTAAGATAGACAGACAGACATATGTGATGTAATGTAATATCTAATTTGTATATTTGTATATATGCTTGATGTATTCCAAAATAAGGAAGTCAATTATTCATGAGCACATCTCTGGAGCAGAAGATCCTTTAGTAATTTCACAGGTTTGGTACTTTCCCATTTACCATACCCCACTTGATAAGGTGTGTGTGCTAAAGACCATATTCTCCACATTGAGCTCCATTCATCTAATTCATTTTGTAATTTTTATTATTCATAAACCATACTTTTAATCTATGACATGTTGTGTCTATAGCTCTCTAATTGATATTCATTGTGGGTTGCTTTGCTTTTGGCACACATACCTAAAGCGAAGTTGCTGGAGATGGCTTATTTTAGATAGCTAAACGAAATCGAACTGTCAAATTTATTTTGTAATGTCTACTCAATATACAATATATTTTCCATAAATATATAATTTTTCTTGGTTACACTCTCCACTCTTTTATTGTACTCACTGTATACACTGTTTTCAAATACTTTCTATCCCACTTTGTTATCCCGAGAGAAAGAGAGACAACTGGCACATATCAAACTGCACACGCTCTGCTCAGTGCACTTTGTAGCACAGTGTAATCGATCAGAATGTTACAGCAACACAAAATGATGTCAGGCCATCTGTCACTTTCGCTCAGCTTCGCATCAGCCGAGTGTTGGACGTCCAAGTGTGAGTGCCAAGAAGCTTCAACACATTGTGCTGCCTGACAAGGCAGCAGCAACAACAACAACAACAACAGCAGCAACAACAACAAAACTATGCCAAATCGGTGCAACATGCATCACACCAAATATGACAAATGCCAGTTGCAACAATTTGGAGTCAACATCGAAGCTAACTGAAAAAGGCAATAGCCAAGTCGATTGTGATTGTGATTGGGATTGTGGAATGGGAATTGGAATTGAAGTTTACCAAATTATGTAATGTGGAATGGAATATCTTAAGCCTAGCCCAGAAACAGTTAAGAGAGCTCAAAGCGAGCGCCTATGAACAACTGATACAAATAGTGAGTTATAAAACAAGAGACGACAAATGGCAACTGGGGCGACTTTTCTAATGGGGAAACACTTGTGCGACTTCTTCAGCGACTGCGTGAGTGGCTCAGTGGGTGAGTGCAACCACTTGCACTGCAAACCACATTCGCACTTGCTGCAAGACAGCAGCCAGCCGGGCAGAGATCAGCTGACATTCGTGAAATCCATTGGAGCAGTCGGTCCTCTAGGCTGATTGGAAAGAGAATGAAAGCAAACTAGCTGAGCTAACAAATACAGATGCAGATACATAGGTAGAGTGGGTTATATATTAAGTGATGAATTAAGCTATAAAAGTCTCCCTTGGCATATTACACTAACGTCTAACGTGCTATGAATAGGTACGAAAATATAATACATAAATAAAAATATACTAACTATTTTTATTTTCTTACTTATTCATAAAAAATAACCTACTTAGACTTTAGTATTACACCCAAGAAATCGACAAATGAAACAAATGCTTATCTATTGTTTATGCAATTCATATATTAATAAATTTCCACTTAAAACCACATTTCCTTAGTTTTCTTAGCAAATTCAAATATTTCATTTGAAATGCAAGAAGGTGCGCATATTAAACGATAATCAAAGGGAATCTGATTCACTAAGGTGAATCATATGAGGAAGTTCTTTGTTAAATATTGCACTAATTGCACGACCTTAAATACCATAAATAAAATACGAAATTAACGATCGATTGTCCGATAAAGAGTAATAAGAGCTGATAACAGCAAAAGCGAATTGAGTCATTCGCATGCATTTCTGTTCTTTGTTAGCTTTTTTTTTTTTTTTTTTTGGTAAATCTAAAAATAAAACTATGACGTATCCTTGACATAAACAATAAATAGGCAAATAAACAATTCGAGATGAAAGTGAAAACAAAAAGTATCTCAGGCGGAGAACGATAAGCGGAGAGCATTGCTCATACGTCACGTCAGCCAACGGACTGGCTGTCTATCTACCTCCACAAAGGACATCTGCAGTAGGAACCAGGGCACGCGGCAAAGACGTCGTCGGTGCGATGAATGCGTCGACTTCGAGTCATCAATGGAACTCTTTTGCAGCGGCGCTCGCGGCTCTCGCGGCTCTCGCGGCTCTGACAGCAGCAACAGGCTGACATCCTTTGTGTTCTGTTTGCTGTCAGTGGGCTGCATTGATATTGCGCACATACACACACACGTAAGCACTTTTCTGACCGATAGCACAACTGCTTAACAATATACAACTCAAACGGAACGTCCGCTGCGCTTGGCACTTAATTCGCGACTACAGCTACAGCTATACAATACAATACAACTCACACACACACACACACACATATCGCTTTTGTTGCTGGCTACTTTTTCCCATCGATCGTTTGATCAGTCATTGGAAGCTATGACTACGACGCATATCCAAAACTCATTGCATACTTTTAAGCGTAAACTACATTTCTGTTTGGTTTGTGTCTTGGCTAAACAAATGTAAACTAGACTTGCTCACGATTTTTTGTGTATTTTAGACAGATATTGTAAAACTATTATTAAATATATTGGCTTTTGCTGGCTAGACTAGATTAGAATTTGAAATATTCTAATACTAATGTATCGGTATTCATGATGAGTCAACTGAGGTAAGTCCAGACCTAATTCTGTCTATTTAAATAAATGTTCATACATTCTATAATTTAAGATATATATAAATAATTTAGAATTAATTCAACGCAAATTATGTAAATTTAAAAACCAATAAACATTATTTTTGCAATAAACAATCAAACGGTGTTTTAATTAACAGAGCTTTTTTGGTGGCATTTAATGTTCAAAAATCAACGGTCAATGAAATTTACTTTGCATAATATTGTTGCCTAACTTAAGGTATACACTATAAAAAGTATTGCTGCATGACTTAGGGAGCTGCTGATGTGGCCGTTGGGACCTAAATTTGAACGGCGCTTTACAGAAGTATCAGGCGAACAGAAATGGCTAGCAGAATGAAAAATGTTAGTTAACAGTAACCTAACAGAATTATGTTAAATAACAGTTCTCTGTTAAGTCACTGTTAATCAACAGTGTCATCACTGTTAACTAACAGAATTCTGTTAGTTAACATAGGTCGCACTGTTAACTTACAGAATTCTGTTAGTTAACATAGGCCTCGCTGTTAACTAACATGATTCTGTTAAGCCACTGTACATTAACAGTTTGTTAACAGTGCACTGTTAACTGCGTTTTTCCACCCTACTTGTCGTTTCTGTTCACCTGGTACATCACCAAGATTACCGTGCAAATTTTGATCCCAAGGTGCTGCAGCTCATGTTAGCAATGTACAAAGCTGCTGAGCCAGCAATGCTGATGACTGTTATCTTAAACTAACTAACCGATATTGGGCTTACTTAATACGTCATAGCAAGGAGTATATTAATTATGTTAATGTTTTTATCAATGTTTATTATAAACAAAATCAAGATTTTTTAACAGTTCATGCTTAGACATTTCTACTTAAGTAAATGCCAGAAGCAGCTGTAGCTTTAGAGTAAATAAAACATTTCATAGAGAATCATAACTCAAATTGTTCTGTAGCTCGCAGACATATTTCCGACTTGTGGCATCTGACAGCCAGCCATTGGCAATTGCATTCAACATCAACAACATCAACAACAGCAGCAGCAACAATTGCATCAGAAGCAGCAGCAGCAGCAACAGCATCCTTGGCATTTGACATTTTGGCCAAATCAAACAGAAGTCCAATTGCCAGCAGCAAAGTTGCAGTTCCAGCAACAGCAACAACAACAACTACAACAACATGAAAACTCACAATGTTTACACGAGCAATCTGTTGTTGTTGCTGGCGTGGTGAAAAGCTTCGTCGGGCAGAGCAAACGCCGCTCTTCTGCTCTTCTGCTCTTCTGCTCAGCTGGGCAGTCGCTTGGGCTCGCTCTCTCGGGCTGGGCACGTGGCACGTGGAGCAGCGCCTGTCAGCAGCCAAGCGCTTTATGAATGGCAACAATGAAATATTTATATAACCCAAGCGCAACCAAATCAAACTCATTAAGGACCTCCCCCTCAGCTGGAGCTGAATCTGAAGGCTACGTGCCAAAGCAATCCCTGCTGGACTTTGAAAATGTTTGGTTTTTCTCCTTTTTGAATGGAAATGCACAGGGCAATACTGAAGTGGATGAATGAGTGAACTTGGACTGTGGAGCTTACTCAATCCATGCATAGCTCAACTAGCATTGGGGCGCTGCTCTTAGCCCTTCCCTGATAATGGACTAGTTAAAGCAAATAAACGCTTAAAACCTTTTAATTCATTTTATTTGGTTTTGCGAAATGTTCAACACGCTGTAGATCCGTCTTTCCTTCCGCCTACCCACTCATTCGTCTATTTGTCTGTCCGCCCTTCCGCCCATCCATCTGTTCATCCTTTCCTCCTTCGCCTCGTTACCCCCCTTTTCTTAAAATGTATTAAGATTATCCTGATACGCCCTACGTCTTCCAATCCTTTGAGGCTAGAGCTATATATACTTTGATTTAATATGAACAGGTATTGAGTAGTCGGTGCCACCCGTCTGCAGCATTCCTTCTTGTTTCCTTTAGTTAGTTTGTAAATTTTCACATTTTCTCTTCGCACTTAGCTCGTTATTAGAGTTCTTATCGGGGTTGCCGTAATGCCTCTAATGGACGCCGATAAGCTGCTGGCTATGTCTATGGAAAATCGAAGTCAAAATCAACATGCATTTTCCTTACATTTTCTTGGCAGGCTGAAGCTTCCCCAGCTTTCTCTCATTATGGTTGCGGTTCGAAAAAAACGTATAGGCAAATCTTGGCAGAAAATCTCTCGCAAACAAAGGGCGTATGAGCTGTGGGCGTGGCACTTGAATGTTTGCCACTTGATTGAGTGACTAAAGCGTCGCCACTTGGGACACCCGAGACCTAGCTGAGGGCTGTTTGCCGTAGGCGTGGCACTTGAGTTTATGAGCGCTATTTTATTGATAACGCCAAGGGGAGTAAATAAATAGGGCTGGAGGGGGAGTACGAGGCTAAGGACGAAGGAAGGCGAGAGAGGGACAGTGGGAGTGGAAGCATCATAAAACGCAACGTCTGATTAGCCAAAGAATTGGGCGTGTTTATGGCCAGAGCAGAGCAACTGCAATAACAATGAGTGAGATGAGGCAGCATCTGGGATTATGTCGAGAAAACAAAATAGACCGAAGGATGCTATCAAAATTTAGAGATGCAAATGATAGAGTTAGAATTAGTAGAATGAGGATGAGCAAGGGAGCAAGGGAGGAGGAATTATGGAACAGGCGCAGGAGGGAACGGAGTGGGAGAAGCTGGAGGAGGAGAGGCTAAGGTTAAAATTAAGCTGCGGCTAGCTGAGCAAGTGACTAAATATACGTATGTGTGTGTGTGTGTGTGTGTGTGTGTGTGTGTGTATGTGTGATATGTATGATATTATGTATGTGTAGCATGTATATATCTGTATATCTGAATATATGTATGTGTGTGACATGTTTCTGCGATGTGTATGGCATGCATATATACACACATATATATTGCATACTAACATATCTGTATGCATGCTGTTATAGGCTAACTTGTTTGTGTGTGTGTGTGTTGTGTTTGTATTTGTGCGGTCTTAACGCGTGCAAAGGCATAAGCCTCAAAGCAGCTGAATAAGATGTGTGTAAGCAGCTCCCCCACCTCTCGTCATATACATATCTATATACATACATACGTGTGTGTGTGTGTGTGTGTGCGCCGTGTATATGCTGTGCGTGCCTCAGTTGCAAACTCAATTATTAGCTACGCGTAGGCAAAAGGCAACACCTTCAGCGTGCGGCGTCTTCGCAAGTAACTTCATTCGCAACTATGGCACAGCCACGCCTACTCACACACTAGCTCTCAAGTTGCCTTCCCCCCTGTTACCCTTCACTCTGTGCAGCTGTCAGCTCTTGGGAAATTTGCATTTTATCATCCATGTGTGGGGTTCTAATGCTGCAAGGGGGCTTTGCTTTTAATTGGTTTTCTTTGGCTCCGCTCTAGAATTAACGCCATTTGCTGTAGCCGTAGTTGTTGTAGTTGCCATTGCCGTTGTAGCTGTAGTTGCTATAGTTGTAAGCTTGGGCTGAGGCTGCGGCCGGGCCGTAACTTATAATTGTTTAATTAGCAAGTAAAATACGGTGCAAATATGTGGAAATTATTGGATCAACCACACAGAACCATGCGAAACTCAAGCGAAACAATGCAAACTCCCCGTAGGAGTATTTTCTGTAACGATGTGAAAATTCAATTAACATGCAGAGCGCTAGAAATGGTAAACAAAATTATAAATGAGACGACATTAGATTGGATTAGCTCAGATTACTGACTAATGAGTAAATTTTGAAATGTTTCTTTACTGTTGTGTGCCCAGATCGGAGTGTTAAGAGTTGAGTTTAAAGTTAGTAATAAAGTGCAAAAGGATAAGGAGTTATCAGAAATGAAACACATAAAATTGCTCAAATAAAAACCCAATAAAATGTATTTACTATTTGATAGAAATTGAGAGACAGAGTAGAAGGAGCAAAGTCGGATACATTTATAATAGTCATTTATTTCTCATATTTATAGTCGCCCTATAAAATAAAATATATATTAACAGATCTACTATATATTATATATATTAAATTATATTTATATTTACTCTTATTAATAAATACAATTTGTAAATATAAATCCATGTCCAAAATTTTAATTTAATACTATTTAATTTTTATTTATTAGTATTTTTTTTTTTTTTTTTAATTTCTTCAAATTTAAATTATCAAAAATATTTAATTTTTTGTTATTATTATGAATTTTAATTATTATATTGAGTCTTTTAAAATTATAATGAATATAAATAATTTAATTAGGTAAACAACCAAAGAAAATTCTCTCAAAAATAAAACACACTACACACAGTCAACTAAAGTTAATGAAAACCTGAATATATGCATAGACAGCAATAGTAATTTCGCTCAGTGCATTTGTCGGCTCACATTTAATAAGCTAAAAGCATATTGAGCGGCGCTGAACTCCGAAGATATTTATCTTAAACATATGCGCATTATTCAGTCAATAGAACCATTTTATTATGACAACAAACTAAATAAATACGGGGCCGATTCGAGTGCCACGCGAGCTGCCAGCTTAGTGCAGAGCGTGCAACAAAACGGGGCAGTTTACAGACAAATAGCAGAAAAGAAGGAAAAATGATTCAGGTTATGAATTGGCTCTCCATGGTCGGTTACGCATATATTTCATTCATTTTGGG